AAATTTAAACAATAAAATAATCCTTCGAAAGGGGGGGGGGGATAAACTGGAGTATAATAACATTTCGAAGAGTATGAAACGAAATAATTGAACGGAATCGGTGTACGTACAAGCGACAAGAATCATTAGCGCACTCTGCGTGGAAATGCATGTTCACGGATGAAGGATTTCGGTCATTATCACCGAAACCGTTCGAAACAGGGATAATGAACCTCGCGGACGCATTAATTCCTCCGTTCTCCTATCCCTGTGGAGTAAATTGGTACGTGTTCCCCGGAAACGCAGGCAGCTAAGTTACCCGCGAGCGCGTGATTTTCCGCATATCCGTCGAAAGCAACCGCGCCGGCGGTCAGTGACTCTGCGGCAAGCAGTCGTACGCGTTCGTCGGGGTCAATTAATGGTGCACCCTGGCCATAAACGTGGACACAGTGCTTTAAGGGTATTTTCGTTCTTCGTGGACTTGTGGCTCGATGCTTCCAAGGATTTCGTCTGCTCGTTCAATCCCCTTTGGGTTTCTTGAACGCTTCCCCTTCCGTGAAGTCTCTTCGGTCGCGTTGTCCCTGTTTTATGGATGGAAGATTATTCCGTAATTTCGAATGGAACAAAGTTCTACGATTACGGTGTCGATCGCTGGGATATTCTCGACAATGCCTATCGATAGCGTAATTGATAGAGAGATTAAGGATTGGAGGTCGAGATTACAGGATTAAGGATCATTTCACACTTTTCAAGCTGAATGTCGCAAGGTTCTGTTAGTAAAACAAGGATTGAAGTTGGTGAAATTGTCTCAAAGTACATACAGGGTGAATCAGTAGGAACTATCTAAAATAACTTATTACCTATTAGTTGTATCCAAAAATGTTTTGATGAGTTACAGAGTAGTTTAAGGGATGCATCGAATGGATACAATTTGATTTCATTATATCTTATTTTCGTTTCGACTTATCTGACACAATCAGTAGATAACGAGTTATTATAGATAGTAGTTCCTATCGACTCACCCTGTATACACACCAGTTACGTTCTGGATAGCCTAGTGGACCGTTCAGAGGTAATGTTTCAGGTGATTAGTCATCGTCCAACCGCCCCAATTTACTTTTGGTGGTAAATATCACGGATGCCGCGCCACGAAATCCGATTCCTTTCGACTTCCCTCGAGAAAGAAAGAAAGAAAAAAAAAGAAGGAAGCCATGGGAATCGCGGCGCGTTCTTCTGGTCTCTCTCAATGGGGGCCCGGGCTCGTGAAAAAAAGAATTGCCCCGCGATGGATGAAGAGGCGCACGCTTGAACCGACGAGAGAGGAGAGAGCAGCAGCGGTTAACGTATGGCGTGCCCATCGGCCATTAAGATCGAGCCCAGCGATTTTAACAATAAATATTAGGCGGCGCTCTGGCTTGCATTTCGCGTGCAACTCTGCCACAAAATCTACCAGGAACATTCGTCCAATGTATTTGAAAAACGCGAAGCAAGTTCTTCGCGATTATTACACCGATGATTCGTTTCGTACAACCATCTACAGTAAATTCCCGATGAGTGTACGATAGATCTCACGCTAGACAACGAGTTTACGCGATCTTTAGGCAGCGGTAAAATCGATCCTCTCGGTCTGGTCGAGAAATATGGAAAGAGGATTTCCCAAATACCTTAAGATCACTTCGCCGATCTCTATCTTCATTCATCACCTCTGAACGGGAGACCCCATTTGACGGCGGACTGAATAGGCTCAGACGGTTTTGTCGGCCCCTGTGTGTCGTCGCGCGTACCAGCCTTGCAATCATGAATGGAGGAGAGGCTCGTACGAAATCAAAGGGCAAGGGACTCTTCCTGCTTGGCGAGATCAACGAGATCTGGCTGAATGGAGCCCAGGCCCTTGCTGGAGACTGAGCTGCTGCTAGTCACACCTTCCAACGGGGTGACAAATCGCCCGTGAGAGTCGTTTAGAGCACGGGGATTCAGTCAAATTGCCGTTCACTTAAGGCATTCTTGTATAGCGTGATAATTAGTTGAAGATTGTCAAATTGTTCGCCTATAGAAGGCTGTTAAACGCCCTGTAGACGATACCAATTGGTGTATAACTCTAGTTCTTAAGTGTTGTATCGCCATTAGTTTCTAAACTGAAAAACTGAGTTTAAAGTTTACGAAGTTTAGCGCATAGTGTATGGCAGAGATGGGCAAATTCATTATCTAAATAAAAAATTCTAATTCTCTTTCAACTAAATCAAAAGGAATTCAATTTAATTCTATTAATATTCTAATAAAAAATATTAAATATATAGGAAATATAAAAATAATAAATTTAATATTTTGCTGATACTTTATAAATATAATTAAAGAATATCTTTCAACCAATATCATTAAAGTAACAAATTATTAAAAATAAACTAACCTCATAAGAAATAGACTGAGCAACCAACCGAATTGAACCTAACATTGAATAATTAGAATTTGATGATCAACCACCTACAATTATATTAATAATGTAACGTAATGTTACATAACATTTTTCGTGCATAACAATTTGTCGTATAACACTGTTTTCCTATATAGTGTAGACGCAGCTTAAGACACACACTGTATACGTACTTGTGTTATTTGGCACGCGTTACATAAATTTCACCGGACGTTCCGACATTAGGTGACGTTTCTTGGGAAGACAGCGAAGAAGCGGAAAATAGACCGACGCCAGCTGGAAGACGGGGGCGAACACGGAAGATTAAATTTACGTGTTAGGGGGGGGGGGATTGCAGAAGGCCGACGGAGGAATTAGTCCTAGGATGATCTCACTGGGTACACGGCGCACTTGAAACGTATCCAAAGAGGTCGCCGACCTCGAAAACGACTGGTAGCAACGGCTTCGTGGGAGTTTCTCATTGCGGCTGGTTCCGATGAGGCCTTGTTTTAAAATCACCACGTACCCGAGAGATTCGTTCGTTCGTTTTTGCCCGTGAACACCGGCGGCAAGCTCGATCGGTAAACTCGTCAAAAATGCGAAAAGAATCGATGATGAAACGAGGTATAGAAGTAGAGTTTTTTCATCTTATGGGAATTGGTGGCCCGCCTAAACTGTAGTACCTTAAAAAGCCTGTGATTCTAGCGACCTCCACGTTATGAGAACGGTGAATTTGCGGTGGGTGGTAGCACTAAAATGGAAATGGGGCGACGCACAGTGGAACGAAACATTCAATTTCGTCTCTGAAACGGATTCAAAGAGATCGAATTTTGTTTCGATAGCTTGAACTAAAAAACGCCCAAAGAAATACCTTAGAGTGAATTAGAATTTATTCTTTGGTGAATAATCATCGATTTCCACCTGTGCGCGCACTGTCCTAATAAAGAATCAATAGAGCAATGTGTATACTTAACGGACTCGAATCAGCTGACTTCAGCGCACCAACGGTACAGCCCGCTTCGCATCACTTTCACTGACTTCATTGAAATGTTCTTCGTTTTGCGAATAAGCTCCAGCCGCGGCGGACATTATCCCACATTACACCACGAGCACCGAAGTTGCTCGAGCTAATTTGGTGCAATTCAGTCCGCGAACGATTCGTTGAAATCTCGTCCACGCGATCTTATGGGTGGGTTGATGATCGTGTGAAAAATACTGCTTCGTTATATTTTTATCTCTTATTATTCTCGACTTCACATAACGTGTATCTTTGCGGTAAATTGACTATCACTTGAAAGTCTAATTCTTTTCTGTTAATCCTCGTGCCACGGTTCAATAAACTATTGTATTACTGTTCCTTGAATAAAACCCACAAGATGACCTAAGTATGACCTTGAAAAATCTAAAGAAATATTTTTCACGGTGACATTCTATATAATAAATGATGATAAAAGTCTCCCTCCATTTGTGTCCTGTCCGTTCAGTAGTTATATCAAACGGCACTTATCGTGGGATCACCCTGTATAATCGTAATTTTCCTTACCCGATTATCTTGATCGGAAAGTATGTTATAATTTTTTAACGAGATCGTCGCAGCTTGTAAGAACGCGATTCATCGAGAAACATTACGGTGCCACGATGTTCTGGGGATATTTACGACGAGCGTGGAGCCATTTCAGGAAACGGTCCATCGTCTGGATAGATTAGTCGCGTCTAGGAAACATCCATCGTGTTCCCATCGCGACCGTAAATCTACCGGAGACGTTCGGATGGCGTTAACCGAATGGATCCACGATCGAGGAATCTGATGATAGAGGAAACCCTGCCGATCCTGGTCGATCTTGTGAAAGTAGCGCGTCGATTGTACGCGCCGGAACGGTACCAATTGTGGTGGAACCGTTTGTGGTCGGGCACCGTTTGCGGTCGAAAGGATCGTACAAAACGCCGTTCCTTTGTTAGTAACAATGGACCAGGAACGTGTGTTACTTTGAACAAACAGTGCTCTTCGAATTGGTGCACACAAAAATTGTGGTGTAATTTATGTACTTATCGTACTTGGTTATACACTATACTTACCTTTATGTTGTTTTTCTGTTTATTTATATTTATTTAGCGAAAGGGAATAATATTAAAGATTGGAGTCTTTTGTTCAGTGTTATCCAACGTCAACTTGCTAATAGTCGGTGATCAGAAAACCAAATATAGTAAATCCCCGATGAGTGTTCGAAGGCTTCTGGGCACTGAACATTAAATATTTCATAAACTGATGACAGACCTTGAAACAGAATTCTAAGCTTCAATGTTCTAAACTACATTAAAAAAAAAGAACACTCATCGAGGATTTACTGTAAGGAGTAGATTTGTTTCGTTGAATGGCATCTGAATCCTAAAATGTTCGTTTAAATATGGTCCTATGTATCCTATTTTTGCGATTGTAATGTTTTATGGTTGCATAGGCTATATGGCATCTGAAATCCCGTGGAACGTTTCTTTGAGTGATAACGTTTTCGGGACGCTGCTGGGACGAGAACTTGTTCCTCCCTACAGCAACTTCGTTCAATTATCGTGGAACCGCGAGATTCATCGTTTCGTCGATTTTTCTCTGTTTTAGGAGTAACAAGTACCTGCAAAAATCGTACATCAGCCGTGTCTGCGCTGTCGGAGGCTTTTTCATTAGCATTCCTGTTTTTTTGACTGGTAAGCATCGGTGTTCCAGGATATATTCTGCGTGTGCGCTTCTCGTTTGAATGAGAAGGGCCCAATGCAAGAGAGGAAGCTATACCTAAAAGTGTTGAAAAATAAAAATTGAATTGTTGTCCTTTAATGTATAACTACGTGACAAAATTTCTGTCTATACTATGATTGTACATAAAGGGCGAACCCAAACTGATGAGACAAGCCGCAATATACACATTCTTCATGCAAATACAAATCGAAAAGCCCTTTACCGTTTTGCAATATGAGGTTTCATTTCTGAGATATCAGCAGTTGAACGAACTCTAATCAGCTGAGCGGTTGGCGACACAAGAAGCTGAAACCAGTCAGCTGGGTTGCGCGTACGCGTGGCCAAACGTTCAGCTGATTGGAGTCCGTTCAACTGCTAATATCTCGGAAATATAGCCGCAATATACACATTCTTCATGCAAATACAAATCGAAAAGCCCTTTACCGTTTTGCAATATTAGGTTTCATTTCTGAGATATCAGCAGTTGAACGAACTCCAATCAGCTGAGCGGTTGGCGACACAAGAAGCAGAAACCAGTCAGCTGGGTTGCGCGTACGCGTGGCCAACCGTTCAGCTGATTGGAGTCCATTCAACTGCTAATATCTCGGAAATGGAGCTTCGGATTACAAAACGGTAAAGAACTTTTCGATTTGTATTTGTATGAGGAATATGTATATTGCGGCTTGTCCCATCATTTTGGGACATCGTGTATATACATAGTATAATATGATGTACACTACTTTCCATAAAAATTCTAATATCACATAAAGCTACACAGTTGTGATAGAGCTCCCTCTTGCACTGGATCCCCCTCGAATAAAACCACGCGTGTATTGTTAATCCCGAGAATGGAATGAATCGTGTGAACGATTAAATTAAAGTGAATTGATTTAAGACTGTTTAAGCTTGTCGGATAGTCATTTCATTCGAGTGACTTCAATACACGTCTTATCGCTCAAACCGAGATCAAGCGCCCAGTTCTTTTTGTTCCCTTATCAAGTTGTACTCATTGCAATGTGTTTGACGATCGTTCCAGGAATGATATTGTACACGTTCATCCAGTTTCATTCGACACCGGCCATCGTCACGTCGGTTTTCATAGGGCTCGGCATCGTGTTCTGTGGCTGCGCGATGGTCCATAACGTCTTCGTGTGGCAGAGGGTAAGAATTTCCCCTTTCTAATCCCAAAAATATGTATCCTACGCGATATCCTTATTCTTTCGGGCTAACTCATCAGTTACTTAGGTATCCCCAGAGCTTTAAGTAGTGTTATCGTTCCCCGATTATCACACAACCACCGTCGTGTTCCTCTAACCACGAGGGATCGCGAAACAGCTCATCCTCTTTCTCGGCTTCGGTTACGCAATAGCTAGCGAGCACGAGAGACACGCAACTGGTCGGGGAGGTACACGTTAAAAGGCTCGATTAAGTCGTTTACGTGAACGGCATCGAGCCCACACGCGCTGCTGGGTGGTGGTATTCCCATCGATATCGCGTTTACCGTAAGCACCTTTTAATTCCCATCACGAGAGTCCACGGGAACGACCCCGTTAGCCTACACCCGACCTAGTAGCGAGACCTGATCGTCGCGAACTAAACACTCGGTGGTGACCTAACCTCACTAATTCCCCGTTTCCAGGAGAAGACGAACGCTGTGAAAGCGTTGGCGCGGGAACAATGCGAGGCGGCTGTCCAATTGCAGAGGCAGCAACAGCTACAGCAACATCAGAACAACCCGTCCCATCTGCAGCATCATCATCAACAACAACAGCTGCATCGAGCTTCGTTACCGACGCCACACGCTGGCTGCGCCGCCGCTAAACTCGGTGGCCCTCTGGCCAGCCAAATGAACAACAGCCACACCGCGGCGGTTGCGCACGGTCGAGCGGCCCAGTATCAACACTACCATCACCATCATCATCATCGACACGTGTCGATGTCACCGCCCCTGTTGCTCTCGTCCCCGGCACCGATGACGGCGACGCACAATCATTTGAACACCAGCAGCAACAACCATCATCGAAACATTGTCACCCCGCCTGACACACCGGGTGACAGGTCGCCGCCGAGTCCTGGGAACAAGCTGAACAGATCACAGCATCTGCCCCGTGAGGCAAGCGGCAGCGTCAGCCCGGGACTTCCGGCGGCCACCTTGGACCTCAGTAGTGCCGCGACCACGAACAGTCCCCATGAACTCTCCACTTTGGTCTAAGAATATATGGGCCTTGGTAGAGCGAGATACATCGAGTAATATTCGGAGGGTGTTTTCTTTTTTTTTTTTTGTTTTAATTTGTTTTAATTTGTTTTAAGAGACAACTGGTTAAGCAACCCCAGATCCACACACACCTTGATACGTTTAAGGCCCATTTGTACACATCCGGGCGATCGGGCTTTGTCGGTGCCACGGATGGCGACGGTGAATAAACTGCTCGTATCAAGATATATGTGTATAAATGGGCCTTTATTCTTCCGGCACCGCCCGTGACTTGTTCGTCAACGCAAGCTTTCCATTTTTTGGTCCAAGTCTATGGAGAGGGATCTTGACAGATATATGGAGTATATAATGTTCGTGGGATATTTTCGTATTTGGAGCTTATTATCTGTACTCTTCGTATCCTTTGGTCCCGTTGAATCGGTATTATCGAACATCTACAAAGTGCCTTTTCCGTTAGGAATCCTAATGTTTACATCGACATTTGAACAAGTGACCTTTTTGAAGAAGAAATTGATTAAACATCGATTGCACGTTCGGAACAGATGTGGTAAAGAGTGTCGTACAAGCAACGAGCTTATATTCTAAAGTCATACGGTGAATAATCGGTTGCTAATAAGCGGTCACGTTTGAGACTATTAGTAAGAAAGGGGGAGGTAATGTAAAAGTATTGTAGTTCGTCAGAAACATTGACCGGAAACGAAATGATCAAGTTGACGGTGTGTACGTATCGAAAATAAGGATAGCCCAACAAATTAGAATAGATCGTCATTTTCATAATTTCAAACTATTCTGTGAACCTTTTTTTTTTTTCGAACAAACTTGTTCGAAGCATGGTGAATGAACAAATTTCGAATCAAATCGGTGTGGTTGGTCGACGAGGAAAACAGGAGGAGAGGTCAAAGTTCTACGTTACAGGAATCTACTCTAACTTGTTGGGATACCGTTTCTACCCGCATGGATCTTGCCATTTGTTTATTATTATTATTATGATTAATCATACGAAACCTCTAGTCCTAGATTACTTTCGTTTTCACGAAAGAATAAGAGTTTCTGATTTTTGACTATCGCGCGATCATGCGATTACAAGTTCTCCGTAACGTATCCGTAGGTTCGTGGGGTTCAAATCTCGACGTGATGGGGGATTTAATGGGTATTCTTAATGTTCGGTGGCATTTGTGATCCTAGGCAACGTTTAAAGACATTCATTTTTACAGTACTTGTATCGCAACAATATACAACTTTATTGTATCATTCCAATTTTTTTTCCTTAACATTGTCAGCTGCCTTCGTGTCACACGGCCGTTTTCTAGAAAAATCGATAAAAAGTTCAATGACCCAAACGTTTTGTGTCTTCATAGGATTTCGTACTTTGAGATTTGAACTCTGACAAGGGTTTTATAACGAGTGTAAATCATCCTTGGTTTTACCGTTTAAGCATTTATACTTAAATATGTTTTTGTTCCTTGTTCCGCGCAGGCTATACTTTAATCACATTCAATAATTGAGTTTGTTAAGTTGCAAACAGATCCAAGTTTAGGCTTAAATGCTTAGGATTATTTAAACAAACCGACCAATTCTTGTATATAAGAAATTTCTTTAACAGAAATAATAGTATTTTTTATTAGTAGAGAGTCTTTATTTTTTACTTATTCAACATTGTTTTTTATGAGGACGTATTTATAACATTTTTTAGTTAGATGTAAAATAAAAAAACGATTCAATACACTAGATTCAACGAAAGTGTAGAACGACTTAAAATAGAGGTTCAAAGAAGTTCATGATTATGATACACGAAAAAATAACAAAAAATTGTTCAGTTTACAGGTCTGCCAATTCAACTTGTTTTCCGTTCAAATAACTGACCAAATTTATTTTCTAGGTATTGAATATAACTTCCAAAAGCATGTGTGTTAATTCAATATGTTTTACTGATTTTTCTAAGTCTGCCAGCTGTTGCATTCTTCAATTCTTTATCCTCTTCAGCCACTTACTTACAAATATTGGTTATTTGGAGAATTCATACAGCAGCAAGGTAAATGTTTGCAATATGTTTATGGTTCTGAAGTTATACAGCAACTTGCGTATGATAATACACAGAACTTCACCACAATCAGTTAATCGTTATCGAGTCGCAAAATATTTACAAAGAAACTACCGATTTTTTATTAGGCAAAAACTCGACAACTTCTCTATTAGTTCTTTCACAATTGACGATTATAGAACTCGGGCTAATGTTTGTGTACATAGTATATAAAATTGATACCGAATATACAGACGTATCATGTACTTTTTGAGTTATATTTGAACTGGGTAGGGTAAGCGAGTGAACATATGTACATTTCGTGTCAACGTAATGTCTACTTTTTATCGAACTTGTAAGTAGTGTAGCAATACATAGAACGTATTATATGTAACACGCGACAATACATGAATTAAATTATTTGTCGGATCCATGTATAACATGCATAGTACAAAAGTGTTTTAGCTTTATGTACTGGTACTTACGAAATACCAATTTAGTAGATGTATTCGGTATGTACCTACTTAAAAAATAAATAAATTATTCTGAACACACACACACAGTGGAGATTCAGGTTCAAACAACTGCCACCATATAGATAATATGAAGTTCGAAATCTGAGAAATGCGAATACCATGGTTTTGAAAAGTAAAAAACTTTCAACAAGGAAAATTAAACAGAAAATAACATAGACACGTCAGACGTGTCTATTCAAAATGTGCAAACACTTTGAATAAACAAAATATTTCAATGTAATTGAATTTTAATTGCACACACCGGTGAACACATCTTTAACAATGTACATCTATTATGCATATAAAAAGAATTATGATTTACACTTTGATCTCAATGCTCGACGATGTACTAAAAATAAAAGCACTAAGTTTCCTGTATTTATACAAATTTTCTACAGCGGTAATGTACAGATATCAAAACTATAACAAGTAACTTTTGTATGCTTCTTACGCTTATATACGAAAATGTTACAGATATATCACTATGTATACATCAGTCCTACATTAAAGATTAAGTTTCATAATTTTCTATCTTTAATCCTAAAATTCAAATGCCTATTTGTCGCAATCATTCGATAAATTCTTAACAAGCTAGATACCAATATGGTTACGACCTTGCATCGTTAAGCGTTGATGGCACTCTTACTTCAATTCCATCCAATTCTTTAGTCATTACTATCTGGCAACCTAAGCGTGACCTGTAAGTGATAATTTTACAATACCATACTTGTACACAAAGTTTCTATTGAATTAAATACATAGAATTTGAAAGTCAATATTGCAAGTAGGTTGATATAGGCATTCAGAGTCCTATAAATGTAAACTGCTAAATTTATTCTACTATCTTATCTTACTTTCATGAGATCCAATGAAAGAAAAATTTAAGACATTACAATGAACTACTTCTTGTGAAGGTTTCTCAGCAGTATATCACAGAAATTTCAAACTAGTAAAACAGAAAAAAATAATATAAGACATTAACTAAAAATTTCAGCTTACGTGTCTGATAATTCATATGCTAGATCCAGCATATCTAATTCTTCATCTGTTGGTTTGTCAGGAAGTGAGTCATACACTTCTTTTGTAAATATTAAATGACACGTACTGCAAGTCAAAGTTCCTTCACAAGCTCCTATAACAATTTTTTAACAAACTATGTAGATCATTTTATTACACAATCATAGAATACATATTTGAATAAAGAAATATGAAATGCAGACGGTATATAGACTTGCTGGAAAAGTTTGTATATTCCTAATGACAATATTTTAACAGTAAAAAGCTTGTTACCTTACCATAGCCATCTAAATCTATTTCATTATTCACTACAATATCTAAAATTGTATCCCCAACTTTTCCTTTTGTTTTTATTATTTCTCCACTTGCTTTAACAAATGTTATGTTCACCCTGAAAATGAAAATTCATTCCATTAAACATGTAATTAACCCAGTCTTCTTTACCATATCTTCAGTGCTAAAGCATGTAATTTTAGGTGTCCCTCCTTTAAAAATATAAACTTTCCTCTTGCAAACAGTTGCTTTTACATTATACTAGATACATTCAAATAGTACCTATTTCGTAAACGCGATTTTCGGAAGGAGATTTCACATCGTTTAAGGATTATTTGCTTCCTCGTCACAGAAAATTTAAACGTTTTCATTGTTTCGTATCATAACCTCGGGAAAATGAACTGAAACTTACTATTTGATAGAAGCTACATGAAAACACATAAAAGGAAAAAATGACATTACTCACTCCTGTTTCTCTGAAAGTGGTTGCGTGGTCGAGATTCGTCTTATTGTCTGAAAAGCCACTGTGCTGTTTTTGTATCTTGAATAATTTGAGGCGACGCCGAGAAACGATCTCGACATCCTTTGAAACCTGTTTACTAGTGCCATTTCGTGGTGATAAATATCATACGTGTAGAATTATTTTATCAACCACCGTGACAGTTACAGAAACTTATGAAAGAGTTTCTAAATAACACGTGTGACGTGTACCGGGCATGTGCCACAGCATTTTAAACTAGTTAGATCGTCGTTAGAGTGTGTTGAGATCGTGGGGTCATAGAACCCCCGGAGGAGGCGCCAGCGACCCGAGTCTGTGAGGACCTGGGGTCATGGAACCCCGGAAGTTGGCGCCAGAGGCCCCGTGTGGTGAGAACGCGGGGTCATGGAACCCCGGTAGGTGGCGCCAGAGACCCCGTGTGTGTGAGGACATGGGGCCATAGAACCCCCGGAGGTGGCGCCTGAGACCCGTCTGAAAAGAACGTGGGGTCATAGAACCCCCAGTGCATGTCGATATAGTGAAGAAATAATTAGAAACAATGAAGAATAATGAATTAATTAATAGCATTAGTCAATATTAGAATATTAAGATAATATTAGTTCTAAGCTGAAGAACGAAGACAACTGACGAGGGAACTTGGTTTTTTATAGGTTTAGGCTCAAGAAAGAAGTCATCCGCCTTAAAAGTAGAATACCCTTTAAAGTTTAAACATGCAAGATATGCAGCACGTGGCATTAGCGCACGTGCAACTGTCGATCGCAGCGACACGTCTAAAGATTTCTAGACTTACGCTTCGTTTTAAATTTCCAGAACGAAGCGTATGTTTTTATCACATAAAATACATTTAGTATGTAAAATTGTCTTTAATAGACAATCAGTTTAAGGACAGACAAGAAAATTAACAGTCAGGAAAATGACAGATAAATTACGCAGATATGAGAAAATTGATTTTCTGGGAGAAGGACAGGTTAGTTGTAGTTCGGCCTCCTATTCAGTGTTGTTTATTCATTCAGTTCTACATTATTTCAGTTCGCTACTGTTTACAAAGCTAAAGATATCGAAACGTCTAAAATTGTCGCTGTAAAAAAGGTTTGTGCATATCTTTTTTTAATGAGTAATGAAATGACACTTCTTAACATTAATTAGTATGTTGTTTATCATAATTGTAGATTAAAGTTGGAAGTCGCGCAGAAGCTAGGGATGGGATAAACAGGACGGCTTTGAGAGAAATCAAATTGTTGCAAGAATTAAAACACGATAATGTGATTGGTTTGTTAGGTATACATTATAAATATTAGCAGTTGAAAGTATAAAATCATTTGAATAAAGTTTGACCTCATGTCTGTCTACTTACAGTAGTGTTAAAATAGAAATCAAATAAATCAAAATCTACATTTGCCTATACAGGATGTAATATCAATGTATTCTTAATTTCCTAATTAATAATCCAATTTATGGTATCTAGTAAGACTTTTTACATTGCACAATTCTTATTTTAGATGTTTTTGGCCACAAGTCGAATGTGTCTCTGGTGTTCGACTTTATGGACACAGATTTGGAAGTAATAATAAAGGATAGTAATATCGTATTAACTTCTGCAAACATTAAAGCATATATGATTCAAACTCTGCAAGGTCTAGACTATTTGCACTACAACTGGATACTTCACAGAGATTTGAAACCAAATAATTTACTAGTGAATGCAGAAGGTGTCTTGAAGATTGGTGATTTTGGTCTAGCTAAGTTTTTTGGATCTCCAAATAGAATAAACACACATCAAGTGGTGACAAGATGGTACAGGTCGCCTGAATTATTATATGGAGCAAGGCTCTATGGAACTGGAATAGATATGTGGGCAGTTGGCTGTATATTAGCAGAACTTCTATTAAGAGTACCATTTTTACCTGGAGAATCTGATTTAGATCAGCTAACTAGAATATTCCAGGTATTATTTACTGTTTTGTACACTTACTAACAAAAGTATATATTATCCTTTACTTATTTCAATTTATTTGTATATATTTAACTTTTAGACCTTAGGTACACCCACAGAGGAAACATGGCCTGGAATGACTGAACTTCCAGATTTTATTCAGTTCAAACCATTCCCTGGAACACCATTGAAACATATATTCACTGCAGTTGGTGATGATCTCTTAGATTTAATTGCTAGTCTCTTAAATGTGAATCCTTTAGAAAGATGTACATGCGATCAAGCTCTTCAAATGCCATACTTCAACAACAAACCAGCACCAACTCCTGGACCCAGGTTACCCCTTCCTACATCTGTGAAACGTCAACCAGAGGAAAAGCCTAATCTAAAAAGAAAACTACTGGAATCAATGGATGGTGCGTCGCTTGCGAAAAGATTACAGTTTTAACTAGAAGTTTCATTAGAATCAATTGTGAATTATTGGAAAGATCAAATCGTTATCACTGTTTTTTTGTTACTACTTTTACAATGAATTACCAATGTAATATACAATTACGAGTGGCAGAAAGAAGAATAGCGAGATTGTTATTCATATAAACGCATAATGTGCGTGTAATGATTTGATCTAAAATCGTAAGATATATCGAAAAAAAATATTTACAGTGCGATCAAATATAATAGTGAATTAATGTATTTTTGTCACAAGCCTATTATACGAAAAATCAAAAAATGGAATATGAAATATTAGGTAAAAAAGCATGTAATTGGTTTTCTATATTATACACGTTACAGATCCTCGGAGATATCATTAGATTCATAGTATGTGTATGAAAATTATGAGAGGACAGGAATATCACAGGTTGAAATAATAATACATTTTTGAAAAATACAACATTATGCTGCATTACTTTTATTAACTTAAAAACTAGTAAGAAATGTTTGATACGTGAACAATTTCATAACCGGTGAAAATATTTAAATCTCGGTTAGCTTAGAAGAGGTGGTTCGCCGATAACAAAATTATTAAAACTGTAATTACGTTTTGCAGCGTACTTCGTTCTTTTTTTTTTGCAGCAAGAGTAAACATTCCGTTTCCATAAGTACAAACATTACCAAATTTCTCTCACTTCTATTCGCGATGCTCCGTCGACATTTGTTATTTGTGGGAAAAAAAAATGTGGGTTATAAACGATTATGTTTCTGTTTCAAATACATTCTCTTTCTAAATAAAAGAGTTTATATTCTTTCGTATTCTCCTTTTCTAATTTCACGACGAGTTTGTGTCGTTCATCTGTGACGAACAAACATGGCAAATATGTAGTCTTTTACGAGTTTGCTCACGACGGATTATACCTTCTTGACCAGTTTCTAACTAATATCCGTGCACGACTTCAAATGTATACATAGAACTATTACACATATACGTAAACCTAATCAATACTGATGGGTAACAAAAATGTAAATACAATTCAATTAAAGATACAAATTCTATAAACTTTCTCTATATTAATGCACATATCAACGCGAGTTTGGCTACACCCGAACTCGATTCGAGAATTAGTACTTCGCAATGGAATAAGTTATAAGAATAGAATAGGATCTCGTATTTTGATATATTACATAAAGCTGTAACAAAATTTCTTCCATACTGTACATGTAGTTACATTAAAAGCATAACTTAAGATGACATGTGCATTTAAATACTGAAGCAACATTTAATCGTTCTTTTGTAATGTTTTGTTTGATCCGGACGTAGAGGTGCAAAGCTAGGGGCTCTATGTAAATAAAATTATGACATTTTTAAGGTAAGATGTGTTAGAAGATTACCACATTGAATATGCAATTATAATCCACCAAAGTTACATTCCGATATAACGAAACAATACAATATGTATACGTTAAATTTTCTATATCTGCATTTGGAAAATTAATATACTTTGTAAATTCTGGATACTAATTACGGAACAAACTTATTATTCAAATACAAGTAATCTCCCAAAACACCTCAAAATGTATAAATGATAAAGTGATTCTAACATGTTGTACTGTGGTCCCTCTTATTCAGATTGAACTATAAGTAATAACTATGTAACATTTTTTTTGTTCATTACATAATCCATGATGATTTGTTCTAAGAACACGTAGCAATGTTTGTCAGACTCGAGGAAGTGAGAAAGCATAACACTTACTATAATTTCCAATAGAAAACAATAACACAAAAATGTGAGCGAAACTTTGGGAATACATAGAAAAAGAATATGTAGTACTTTAATAGTACTACAAAAGAGGAAATTCTACAAAAAAACCCATTTTACAGTATTTGATTTTTGAATGGTGTACAAGGTACTAATACTTTACTATGTTTCTTTCTTTTTACAACATAAATCTGTCCTCTCGTGCAAGTTATATACACATAAAAAATAATACACTTAAAATGTAGATTTTTACTGTACAGGATATATACTTAAAGCAATATTTAGATTTCCAAAATTGATATTACACAGAGTGTAGTATAAACCCAGAAAACATTATCTAGCGCAATTTACAAAAATTGTAAATCGTTTCTTCCTTTCGTTTTTCTCGTATCGATGTATTCATCGCGAACATACAAACGAAAACATCCCTCCATCATTTGTGACAATGTGTTAATACGTAACTGAACATATCATTTGAGCGTGACAACTGTAGAAATTGCAAAGAAAATAAATTTCAATCGATCGATTAATACATAATTCATTAAAGTCACCACCGCTTGAAATGTAACGTAACTATCGATAAATTTAATGATTTCTCGTGTTTGTATACACTATCTCCCTATCCTGCGTGCACTTTGCAAGGAACATTGTATTCGATAACATTAGCATTTTTTTTTAAATATGCCCTTCTGCATGGCCCTACACGTGTAACATGCTTGTAAAATAACCCTTAATTTAGTAGGTCTCAGATTTTTAAATAGGATGCATTATTCAATACATAAAAATAGGATACATTACAATGAGTACATAGGACATAGTATCACAAAAAGAAAACAAGGATACATATCTTTTTGTTAATTATACATATGAATGTTCGATAAAAGAAAATTTTAAAGAAATCAATATAATTTATTTTACACGGGAAATATGAAATTCAGGAAAAGATTTTATGAATTACGTTTTTATAGGGTTAAATTGTTGATATTATTGTCTTATATTAGCATCCCATGGAGAACACGTAGTTGAAACTGCTCTGAAGGATCATTTGCTGGACATGAAATGCAACGAGGATCTCGCAATTGTACATGTCTACGAGGGTAAAATTGTTTTTTTTTTCTTGTTCTTTAAATTATATACTATGTCCTAAGCAAATGTTTTGAAGCAGTAATTGATGCGCAGTCTATAGAGCACATGCAGTAGACAATTTGCTCTTCGTATTTTGTTTTCTAGACATTTGATTCAGTATTTAAAGTAACATATGTAACAACTTATGCAACCAACAACATGTTATGACTACCTTATAATGCTTATCTTCCTAAATTTCTTAGTTTTTACATTAAGTCAATATTTACCAAGATCTTTAAACAATATTAGTACATTCCTTTTTTTGGGGGGACCTATAGATACAGATCCTTCAAATCTCTTAAATCAGACGAATGTAATGTAATTCGCATCGGCATGTGTATTTTATAGAAATTGCAAAATAAAGCATTCACGCGTAATGTTTACTTAACAAAAGGACAACACAGTTAATGTCACTTTATATTATTTAAAAATCATGGTATTTCGATTTCACGACGAGGATGTTTAATCGCAAATAAAAATGAAACTATATCCATGTAGTGATTTAAAATAAGTAATACATACGTTATGATATAGCTGTCCGTAATAATAATATCACATCTCCGAATACTACTTAGCATGAAGTGTTACAAAATAAATGTATATATAAATCAGTTTAGAAGAAAAATATAGGCGGTGCATTTGTTTTTATTTCTAGGTAACTATCATCTGTCCCCAACTGTAAAGAATATGCTTGCAATTTTGCGGATACGAATAGTTTAGCACGATTTTATGGTTTCCGACGTTGAAGCTGATTCCATAACTTTTCTCGTTTTATAAATATTTTGTAAAATTATTCTTCAGTCCATCCATATCATTATTGAAAGTCCAACTTTTTGTCATACAAAATTCAGTTATCAATACCTCAATTCTTGGTTAATAAGTCTCACTTTGAGAGCATATTTTATTCTATTGAAAAAAGACATTTGTTTTGACAATGTAGGTATACTTATTATACATAGAATTATTCGAATTTATATTAACAAAGTACACTAATCCATTGAAACGGAAAAAAGCTACTACTGTTTCTTCTCTCGATACTTCTGCAGTATGCAGCTCGAATACAGAAGATAAAAACGCAGCAGTCTCATCGATTGAATCCTTTCTTTGCATCAATAATTTTGGAGTGGTACATCGTATTATGAAATAAACGGAGTTCATATATAAATGTTTTTTTTTTTTTAGTGAAACAAGAAAATTAATTCATGCAAGAACGGTAACAATTCAAAAATTAGAGACATTAGTACGTCGATATTAATCAATAAAAAAAAGAATGAAATTACATTTATAACTGTATGACATACTACATAAATGTAAACAGAACAAAACATATCATTTGCAGTGTGAAACACTCTGTGTAGCTTCTTGATTAGGCACAATGTTTGAAAGCAATAAATTCCTATGTCTTTGTTTAAATAAAAAAGTTCTTTGTGGAACACACTTTCCGAATACAGACTATTATGTCCCTAGAATTCATTGTAATATTAAAAGTAGAAATACATATTTCATTGTTTACTACTGTTTTTTAGTTTATTATATTATATA